CATATTCGTTTCTCCTCACTCCTAACGCATAATCCAGTCCACCACAATGGAGAATATCATCATGGAAGATAATAAGCAGACAGCCTTATCTTACTCTAGTATTCACTTCGAATGCCTAGCTGAGTTTTCCATTGTGGACCACCTGACCATATAGAAGCACTTATTTGACATAAACTTTGAAAATCTCAGTCATGTTCTTTATGCTGGGTGCAGCATATTTACAAGCTGAAATCAGTGTAGAAAGTTGTAGTGATATGTGGGTAAAGCAATTGCTGTTGAAGTTGCATATGAATGAATGTCAGTTTACGATTTCCTAAAGTTTCAGCGTGACTTCATGGTCGATAATGTTCACCACTCCAGCCAGCTATAAGGATGATGACCTTTGATATCTTTAGAAATATGTCATAAGCTAACAGAAGTTAGAATTTATAAGTTATTGAATTCTGACCCATTGGTTGAAAGACAGTATTTTCGACACATAACCTAAACGTTCTGGACTCGTTCTCCTGGTAGAGTCATGAATTCCTGTTGTTGTTCCTTTGGCTTTCAAGTGGAACATAGGGCTTCAACTACACGTCTTCACTTGTTTCTGTCTTCTGCTGTACTTTTCACTTGTATTCATGTTAGTCCATACTGTTTCAACTCCTATTCACATGATCTCCTCCATGTCAACCTTCGACGTCCCACTCGCCGCTTCCCTCCAGGGTTCCACTCGAAGGTCTGATGCGCGATGTCACCCAGTGGCCTCCTCGGTGAGTGGCCAATCCATATCCACTTTCTCCTGCATATTTGTTGAGCTATTGGTTCTTGTTTTGTTTGTTCTCATGGTTTCTTGTTGGTGATTCTTTCCGGCCATCTGATCTTCAGTATGGAGCGAAGACAGTTGTTGAAAAAGGTGTGCAACAGGCTGTTGGAAATATTCTTTGTGACACACTGGCCAAGTTCCTGATCCGTATAGAAGAGCTGACTGACTTGACGTTTGTATTGAAAATCCGAATTTTGTTGTTGATGTTGAGGAGTGATGAAGATTTCCAGATTGGTTTCAGTTTGATGAATGTGTTTCTCGCCTTCCTGATTCTCGATTTGTCATCCTCATCCGTTCCTCCTGTAGTTGAGATAATGCTCCCTAGATAAGTGAATGAAGTAACCTCTTTCAAATCCCTCCCGTTGAAGAGAAATATTCCACTCCACTAAACCTTTACTTTGTAGTGGCTTTCTAACGGATATGTCAGCCTATCAGAGCGCTTTCCTTGAAACCACTGAGACTTTTATAAACCCAGTGATAAAATACTTATAATTAATTGCCTTGAAAAATCATTAAAATTTCAGAATTCATTTTGTCTTCAAATTTAAATGCTGCACAAAGTTCATATGATATTGCGGACACGTGTTTCTACGTGGTAGAATTTCGATTTCCCGCATGTTTTGATCATTAGACACAATCCAAGAGTGCAGTGAATGTCCTAATTCACTGAGGATTTAGGTGCGTACAACACATCTCCTTTAATGTCTGAGTTTTCAAAATGTCAGCAAACACAGGAAACGGCAGGATGTCAAGATTTCCACCCAGTCAAACTGTTGAATGCCAAAATCGCAATTTCATTTTAATTAGAATTTATGCCGCAGACGTAATATTGTGTCACGTACATTCTAAAAAATATACAAGTTATTACGAAATATTGCGCAACGCAAATTAGTTAAGAGATATAAGTCTCATAAATTAATCAAGTGTCTTGGTTCGCAAACACAAAATATCCTTTTTGCAGACCATCTTACTTTCTCTTAAAAAGTCAGTTTGTATGAAATGGATTAATTGAAGTCTGATTGATGTTTACAACAGCCTTCAGTCTCTAGAGACTTATTGCAAGAATTTCTAATTAGAAAATACAATCGGTTAAGTAAATTGAAACTGATGTGATCAGTGTTCACCATCAACGGCGTAATAAAACACTTGCACTCTTTTCGGAAATGGTAGTAACTTTATTACGTTTATATCTTTGTGTCATTTTCTGGTCTCGGGAATTCCCCAGAGTGATGTTAATTAATGACTGGTATTAGATGGCGGAGAATTATATCGCGTCTTCAGATGCATTTGTTATTTGTCACTCGAGTCCTGAGTGGAATACAGGGATTCAGCATTTCATTCGGTTCTCTGAATCCTCTTTCGACTAGTAGAACGACTGCCCAAAAGCTTTCACTTAGCACATACATGATATTTTACATGTTCCCCTCGGACACCATACTTGTCGTCTTTCATTCAAGTCCCACTGGAGGACCTGACACGCGATGGCCATGAGCAGTTCTCTCATAGTTGACTCGGTGCATTTCCTATTGGATTTCTGTTGCGCCGTAGGTTCTTACTTGATCCACTGCCACAAAAGGTCTTTCTTGAATACCTTTTCTGGCTGGTCACCTCTATCTTAAATATTGAAACAGTGACGGTAGATGTGGGAAGAAGTCTCCAGCTTCTTGATGAAAACGCTTTTACTTACACTAACACCAAGTCTGTGAACCATAAAGAATCACTGACTAATTTTAAATTTCAAGTGCAGCCATTGACTGACATCATTTGTGGAACCACTGGAATACCGGGGAGCATTGCGTAGCCGAGTTTGCCTTGTTTAAAGATCGTCGGCAGTACGAAAGCAAGACCTTCCGGATACAAGGAAAGTTCGCAGACCACACAATCAATGAAAGATGAGTTGGTGGCCCACGAATTCCAACTTCTGCTAATCTGTGATTTTAGCACGACCAAACCTGACACACTGGACTTCATTAGTCACGAAATCTCAATAGAATACAAGGCAACTTCGCCAGTTGGTGGTATTTGATTTATACCAAGTTTGGTCACGGATCGGCATCAGCTAGAGGACCATTGGAAAACTAAGGAGTAATGGACAGCTGGCTGCCTCCTCCTAGTCTGAGACTTTTCACAGTGAGCACCCATCAAGGTTCTCCAGGTGACATCAGCTCATGATAAAAGCTGGAATGAATCAAACCCCTAAAGTCTAACTCCAGATAATTTGAAATTATTGTTGAAAGCTGGGACCTTGTTTTCTGTGTCATGCGCCGTAGATCTACACTCTGGTCTCAGTGTAAATGAGATCTACCTTGCTATTTCCATCATATCTCAGCTTCAACATACTCGCCTGTTCTACAAATCTTCTCAGTAATACGGTCTTCCTGTTTGATATATCTACTATTGTAAGCTTGACTCTTAGTTTACTCAGTTCAGGAATATAGAATATCTTTAGATCGGTAAATAACTTTGATTTGATGGTATCGTGTGAACCAGACGGGTAGTCTAACTTCGAAACAGTTTCCGTTGTCTTATTTTTGCAATACCTCCGATGGACTCACTACAGTTTGAATTGATGTTATTTGAATCCTTCATGGATCATATAATTATCTCTCTTGAAAACCTTGTTTGATGGAAATTAACTTACTCCTAGTGAAGTTTTCAGATCAACTATTTGTTCGAGTTTAATGAACACTTCCGTCGAATTATAGCCAGGATTATATGACTCTTGGAATAGGCACCAATTAAAAGTGATTTCTGCTCGAAGTCTTCTTTCCAAAACCAAAAGTCAGTAAAGCGTCGTTAAATCACTGTCTGAAAGTAATCTTACCTGGCCAATCAGCCATGTCCGGTGTTCACTTCCTGACCGACGCACTCCCAGAAGGCTGGTAATCCCATCGTGTGTGTAACAACGCTGCCACTACGAAAACTTCAAAGCGTGGAGTTCTATACAGCAGTTGAAACGCAAATGAATAAAAAATATATAATTCAGGTGTTAGTTTGTAGGGATATGTTTGTTTGCAGGATTTATTCATGAGCTGACATCAGTAAGAGAAGCTTTGGAAAACCTAAAAATACTGGATAGCCAGCTGTTTCGTCTTGGTTTGGACCTATTCATCAGCACTCACCCACCACAAGGGTTCGAGTCAAGGACCTACCGTCTACAAGAATTGCTATCTCGTAGACCATTCAGCCACTAGTTGCACTTTATCATGAAGTGGCAGAAGCTGCAATCCATGGGTTGGCCATTGGATCGAGTCCCAGGGGCTGAATACTCTACGAGTTAGCTCGCCTTGTAACCAAAACGTTACAGGTTTGGACCCTGGCGGTGGGTATCTACTGATGAAGAGTGCCAAAATACGCTGATGAAACAGATGACTGCCTAGTACTCCCAGATTTATCAATGGTTTTCTAATTGATTTCAGTTCATAAAGAAAATACCATACCTGGTTTTGAAAATTGAATGATTCGAGTTACTGAATATTCTTTTTTGCGGTATAAACCGAACAGTTTCTCCACGGGATTACCTTGATTTTGTTTAATCTAATGTGTACTATTTGACTGCATTTTTTGAACTTTTTAAGAAAAACTATATAATTGAAATATTTAACTGTTGCTTTTCATTGATCAGCTTAATTTTAAGCCAGATAAAACCTCTGTGTAGATTCGACGATGAATTCATAAGTGCGTACAGCTATAGAATCACTCGACTAATAAAAAACAGTTATGGAGTACACTTCAGGACTGTATGGTTGTCTAAATGGCGTGATTTTATGATGCAGCTTATCGTTATACAAGATCCCAGAAAGATCAACACATGAAAATCATCGCTTTCTTCACTAATGACCGACTTGGAGTTCTACTGATGTGGTCGTGAGCAGTGGCATCTGTAAAGTCAACTATCAGGAGACAAATCATCTGCCTGTGAAAGTGAGTGAAGGGCGGTGGGAAGGGTCGTGATATGTCGCAAATTTTCCAGAAGTTATACTTCACAAATTATTGAATACTGTCTCACTGGTTGATTGGTTATTCGTAGAGGGTGGGATTCAGAGTTAGATTTTCTGGTTCTCAGGTTCATGGAAGAAAAATTAACTTAACATCTATCCACTAGTACTCTGCAGGGTTCATTAGGTCTATAATCGATGCAATTTTCACAACAAATCACTTTCATGATGTTTCTTTTTCTCTTTCCTTTTTTTAGACTCGTCCGACCTATCAACTCGTCCTAATCTGCTTATCCTTCATTACACTCGCCATGTATCTACAACTCGGAACAAATGCCTACATGTTACCGAATAGATATCAGTTGGCGCCTTATGCAAATGATTATGAAAATGACGCTGTCATGTATCGTCATATGCTTATCCCATTATCCTCTGTACTATCAACAAGAATGCATAAAAGAGGGCCGGAATTAATTATCCCATTCATTAGTGGTGGAGCTCCAGCGAAGAAATCTGATGATGTTGAATGAATCATTGATTAATTGATTGATTGGTTAAAGTACTGAATCACTTAACTTAACAGACAAAATAAAAATCAAGCGTGAATACTTGTCAAGTTAAGATCTGCAGTGTGTTTGCGTGAGTGTCTGTAATTGTGTGTGTGAGTATGACTGCGTGTTGATTTCATGAAATATACAAAAATCTTTTGAAAACTTTCTTTTTCAATACAATATATTAAAAAAAGAGGTAGATATATTGTTGTTATATATTCCAATGTTTCGGCTTAATTTTGTTTGAATCAGGAGAGGTATGTGTACTTTCGGAAGTGTGTGTGTGTTGGTGGATGATTAACCTAATTCTCGGCTGTCCACATCACAAAAGTAGTCGACCGTTTTCTTTGGGGTATCTGAAACAGAGAGGGCATGAGTGTTGATTGTGATTCCAGAGACCTGTGGATAACTACTTGAGACTAGGAAATCTGTCCATATTTACTAAGATGTTAACATCGTTGTTAAGTACCACCTGTGTCTCCACAGCGGAACGACAGTACATTTGACATCCTGGCCACTTCAGAGAAAGTAATATACTGCTGTTTCATACATGCTGTCCCCAAGTAATAATAATAATAATTTGCTTTACTCCAGAAACAGTACTAGTGGTACAGTGTGGAATTTTCAGCGCATATCTACAATATTTGCATCTAATTTTATCCAACGTTTAAAAGGAGTATTTCAAAAAATAAATATAAAGACAACAACAACAAAAAAACACAAAAATAATTTTTAAAAATGCGAAAAAATTACCAAGAAGTAGAAAGGAAAATAAATAGCATATAATAATATCTCCGTATTGGGTAGTGGAAGCAATGATATGATTACGCATGGTGACAGTAAAACTATAGTCATACAAGTAGTTATGCAATGATATTTAAGAATGTTTATCACCAAGATGATCAGTTAATTTGGTTGAAACAACACTAAACACTCATAAAATAACATTTCAGGGTTGTTTTTTTTGATACGTCTAATGCGGTGTTTGTGGTGGTAGTATGAGTAATCCTGCATAATGCAAAATTTTAAGATGGAATTTTAAGAAGGAACAGAGTAAAGTACAAAAAAGTAGGCCAATGTTAATAATTTAGGTAGTTAAGTGTGTTTAAGAAGGAGTTCACTAAAGAATACTAAATAAGAGAGAAATAAAAGAGCCTAAAATTATGTTATTAACAACAGAGCAAGTCATAGGTTTCACGCTTAACATTGTCTCTGTCACTTAGAACACGGGCCAAGTATGGTATCGTTGAGTTCCTGTACTTGGTTGTACAAGCATAGATTATTTTATACTGATTTCTGGTTCTACTTGATGAGATACGAGGCGTGAGAGTTTGGAATAGATTGGGTGTTGGGGCTCGGAGAGTATGCTTTTAGACCATTTTTCGCATGTTTTCAGATGCCTTTCAACTAATGTAGTGACAAGCTGACTGAGTTTTACACCACTAGTCCTACTGACTACCTTCAACATCCTTCTCAGGATGGTGTAGTCCTTTTTCAGTAGACGAGGAAAGACTAACGGGGAGCAGTAAAGTAGAATAGGTAAGATACAAGAGTTGACTAATTGTGAAAGTAGAGGTTGGGTGATTGTAGATTGTCTTAGTAAAACTTTTCCGATAGACGAGTCAGCGAAAACAAGAATATTTCCATAGATGGGTCATTAGAATCACAAATTTTAGACAAAGAATCATACAACATAAAAAGTGTTAATTGGGAAGTAACTGAAAAAAAAGTAAATAAATAAATAATAATTGTCATAATTGATTAGCATTCAACTAAAGCTGAACGAGAGTCAAGCCAACAACAGTGGACATAATGACTGGAAATTTACTAAACATTGGTGAGGCAAAAATATAATACAATAAAGAAAAAAAAGTAAAAATTGCGAATCTTCTGTTGAGACAGATCAGGTCCTTGTAGATTCAATGATTGAACAAACTTCTTTAGTATGTAGATTTTAATATTCAACACGTAGTGAATTAACATTGCTTCTGCATTTTGAAGAAGTTTAATCCATTTTCATTTAGCAAGTTCCCCACGTATTTTGTAAATAACTTTGAAGTCACTTTTTTGGGTTATCTTGGTGTCCGGATTCAATCAGGTGTTCCAGGATAGAGCTGCTGTTACCTGAGGGATGGGATCTTTTCTCTTCTTTATGAAACCATGAGGGTATGTGTTCGATGATACGTTTGGATAGCAAACTCTCGGGACGGCCGTAATATCTATCTGCACACGAGCAAGTGAATTGATGGACGCACATTGCACCTAATCTCTCTTTACATCGGGTACGTAATTTTCTTGGTTTCTTCTTAATTGTATCATTATTTTCCCCCATCCTTTATTAATACTGTGGTTAACTTGAGCCGCATTCAATTTTAGTTGAATTCGACTCAACCGAATCAATTAAATGATGTCACTCAATTTACTTATTTAATTATATTTCAGCTACTACCCGAGTAATGCTTTCCACAGTACGAGTCTGACCACGGCTTGATATCAGTTAGAGAACCATTGAAAACCAGCACTGGAGTAGTGCACAGCTGTTTCATCCTAGTTTCATAACCATTGGTAGTACGCCACCACCGTCAGGGGCTCGAACGCAGGAGCTTCCGGATACAAGGCAAGGTGGCTTGTACACCATTCAGCCACTGGGACCCGACCTGATTTAGTGGCCAGCCCATGAATTCCAGCTTCTACCAGTTCGTGACTTAGCGCAACCACCAACCAATGTCATCCGGGGAGTACCTATCCTCACACACTTGACTGGATGGATCTCACTGGTCATGACTTCTCACTAGAACTCACTCCAGGAAACTCTGTCCTGTAGCACATCACAAACGAGCATCTAAAATTTTCAATTCTGATGACACATCTTTAGAAATATTCTTTTGGCTGCGAATACCACTTAGCATATATTCATGAGATTGTTCACCTTGAGAGTGACTTCGTCAGAAAATGAGGAAATCCTCGCTAAATGTCTGTTTTTTGTCATATCTCAATGAGGATTTCTATGTAACTGCAGTAATTACGGCTAAAGCTGCATTTAGTCTAGTTGTTACCTGAAACATTCTTTCTGGTATGCTAGAATCTGCAGGGGAAATTCCTGAGTAATATCAATCGATAATCTTAAAACACTGACTACTAATAGGTAATATTCGTAGAGATAACTCTTCGTCGTCAGGTTCTACAGTTATACAACTATGAAGCTTGAAAAAAATGCTTCAAAACCTATTGGTACTATCAACAATAATTGTTTGAATAACATCGATAGACTACAGCTCACAAGCATCAATACAATACTGAATTGAATGTCAGATATATCAGGAAAAAACAATGGAGAATCCATGAACTTTTAATTTTCAAAACAGATTAGGGTAGCAATATTGGCTGAATCTGTTTATTTTGCTTTCATATTTTCAACATTTTCTCTTGTGCATTGAAGTATCCGTAGCCGTTTCATTGATTTTCCCGTGTAAGGTCACTCCTTACATTCCCAAGCTTGGGACTGGCTAGAAAACCAGCAAGATAGTAAACAAGGCGAGAATAATCAGTAGGCAGTGACCGGAATTAGAACCCACGACATTATAGTTACAAGACAAGCTCGTAGGACATTAAGCCACTGGATTATCAAAGCCGAAATCGGGAAGGCGAAATAGACACCTTCGTCACTCTGAAATCCGATTGAAAATCTTCTGCACTCACTGGGCAGAACAAAATTCAGATTTTCAATACCAGTGTAAAGTCAGTACTTATGTAAGCGTCAGGAAGAAGATGAGTGCGTCACGAAGAACATTTCTAACAGGCTGTTGCAGAACTTTATCAATAGATGCCTTCACTGGCTACGTAGTGAAGATCAAATGGCTGGTGAGGAAGAACCAGCAACAAAAATACTGTTGGAGCAAACAAATCAAGAACTTATTGGTCAACAAGTGTGTAAAAGAAAATGGAAATGGATAAAACGCCTGTTAAGGAGACCATCGAGTGACATTGCGCGTCAGACTATAGCTCAAATTCAACCCGAATAAAAGACGAAGAGTTGAGCGCCCAAGTGTGACGTGCAGTAAACCGTATGAGGAGGAGATAAGAGATTATGTTTAATCGTGGGGCCAGCTAAAAAGTATCCCAGAAAATAGAACAAAGTGGAGATGCACTTTTGAAGTGCCATGTTGCACGTGGAACAACAAGGGAACAAGCGCAATATCGCTTGAAATTAAGTCACGCGTAGATAAAGGCTATCCCGGTCCAGAACAAACAAGAAGCCGGTCACTGTTTCTACGGTACTATTAATAAACAAATCAATAAATATATATACAACAAACAAACAACGGTTTCAAGAGTACAAAGCACAACGCTTAACAGAAAGCAAGGTACCGCTATCAGAGCGGAATAACGTAGAAGCCAAAATTGCGGACTAGCCGGAATCAGACACGACCGTTCACGTAAGCAGTCAGTAGAAGAATGAACCTAAGTAAGGCAGGGCATAGAACAGAGAGCGGTTAAAAGACAGACAGAGCATAGGCACAAAGATAGGATTTAATTGGCTACTTAACCAGGTAGGCTGATACAGATGAAGATCAATAAATAAGATAAACTCGACAGATTAGTACAAAGTAAGACATGGGTCAGCAAAATAGCATTTCACAAAATACTCTGATTGGGTCATGAGTTCAACGGTCTGACTAAACGGAACGATGTAAAAACACACACACAGTTCATTAAACAAGGGGAGATAGACAAGTGAGCATAGCTAATTGGGTTGCAACAACGCTAGGGTGATCCGGGACAGGCTGGCTTGATTCAAGGATGGGAATTGAATTGATCCTACAATAATAATACTGTTTCTTCTGCACACAGAGCTTCAACTGTTTCATGCGAATTCCAATGCAGTGTTAGACATCTAAAGGTTTTCAGTAATTCATTCGTTACCCAACAGAGGATAGAAAAAGACTCTTTATTGATAACTTTGTGGAGTGTTTTGACGAGGTGATTCAATGTCGAACTGCTAGTGCTTCCAACCATAACTTTATTTGGTTGTTCAAGAGAACAAAAAATTAAATCCTTTTAGCAACGACAAATATAACCTGCTTTATAGGATCTGTTCAACTGATAGATGCCATAAGAGGCAACCACCATAGGTGTGTCTTTTTTCATTTGAGGAATTGAAACTAGTTTATGTATTTCCCAATGAATGAAAAACA